CTTGTGCCTCGATCTAGTTCTCGTCATGGCGGCAGTCAGGCGGGGGCTACTTCATGCAGTAGCACGGGCAGTCTGAGGGTAACAGTGGTGGCAAACCCTACAGGGACCAGATCCTCGGGGGACCATCGCTCCTCTTGCACTCTGCAACCAGTTGAGCTGCCAATGGAACGTGCTGGGCCCTCTACAAGGAGCGTACCAGCCGTATCCTTTGGCGCTCCTCCCAATGACCAGAGATCGATTGCTGCATCAGAGGGTGAGCGAGAGCTTTCTGGAGAGGAAGATTCGGCTGCGCTGCTCTCCTCCGGGACTGTAGCAATGCCTGAATCGGATCCAGAAATAATGGCTATGCTTTCTCAGGCCGCCGTAGGGGTAGGGCTCGATTGGAGACTTCCACCGTGTCCCGAGCCCTCAAGGTTGCACGATTGGTTCTCGTGGTGGTCCACACTGGTTCTCAGCGCCCCGCCTCGGTGCCTTTCTTCCTGGAGGTGCATGAGGAGCTCACCAGGTCGTGGACGGCACCTTTTACTGCCGGAAACCGATCTGCTGGTTCCTCCTCCCTCACCACCCTTGATGGTGGTGCAGCTAGGGGGTTACAAGGGTCCCCACGGTGGAACGGTCGGTTGCGATGCAGTTGTGTCCTAATACCGCCTCCAACCGGCAGGTAGAACCGTGCCTCCCCTCCCGGGTCTGTAGGTACTCGACTGGTCAGCGATGCTTATACGACCTGTGGAGAAGCTGCCCTCCGCCTTACACACTACGGCGTTATTGCAAGTGCACCAGGCCAAGGCACTGAGGAACTTACACGAGGGTGGTCACGACCCGGAAGTTCTCAGAGAACTCCGCACCGCGACGGACCTCGCGCTACCAGCGGCGAAGGTTACGGCATGGTCTCTGGGTCATGCGATGTCCACTATGGTAGTCCAGGAGCGCCATTTCTGGCTGTGTCTGGCCAACATGCTCGAGACGGACAAGACACGATTCTTGAACACCACCGTGTCCCAGACTGGCCTTTTCGGCGACATGGTGGAGAACTTTGCCCAGCAGTTCTCCGCTGCCCAAAGCAGACTGAGGCCATCAGGTACATCCTGCCTCGGCGTGCAGCTGCCACCGCCCTGCTCCTGCAGCCTCCAGCAAAGCTGCGCCGTGGAGCCAGTCGCAGAGCAGCCACTCCGCCCGTCCAGGCCCCCGCCAAACCTGGTGGCAAGCGAAAGAGCAAGAGGCCCTGTGACGGGCAACCCAGAGGTGGAGGGACCTGCTCTTCGGGAGATGGTGAGCTCACCCCTCCCTCCCCCGGAGGAGGGCCGGGTAGAGAATCTTTTTGTTTTTTTTCTGCCACTGACCTCTCGGTCGGTGGTACCCAAATACTCAACAAAGAGCAATTCCTCTATTTCTGGGTCCCCAGAGGGGACGGGCGGTTGTGGACGATCGAGTGTCGTATCACACTCACCCTCCTCTCTCGCCAGTGAACAGCAGTGGGCGGATCGGGAGGACGAACCAACGGACTACCCACGCACCCTCTGCTTGAACGCAGGTCAGTGTTACACACACTCAGCCCCCGCCTCGGACCGGCTACGAGACGCCCGGGCCGGGTCCCTGCGTTCTTCCTTGCTGCCCCACTGCGGGTACGCCTGTAGTTCCGTTGGTGCCACATCTGGGAACCTGGCTAGCGCCACCCAGCCCGTCTCGATGGCTTCTTCGAACGGTCAGGCTCGGCTATGCGATTCAGTTCGCCCGGCGCCCTCCCAAGTTCAGGGGCGTCCACTTTAATTCCGTGAAAGCAGTAGATGCCCCTGTCTTGCGTGCAGAGATCGCAGTCCTGCTGGCGAAGAATCCGATAGAGCCGCTCCCTCCAGCCGATATGAAGATGGGGTTTTACAGCCCCTACTTCATTGTACCCAAGAAAGGTGGTGGGTTACGACCAATCTTGGACCTGCGTGTCTTGAACCGGGTCCTTCACCGGTTACCGTTCAAGATGTTGACGATTCCGTGAAAGCAGTAGATATCCCTGTCTTGCGTGCAGAGATCGCAGTCCTGCTGGCGAAGAATCCGATAGAGCCGCTCCCTCCAGCCAATATGAAGATGGGGTTTTACAGCCCCTACTTCATTGTACCCAAGAAAGGTGGTGGGTAATCAGTCTCAGGATCAGTTGTGCGAACACAGGGACTTGGTGCTCTCGCACCTCAGCCAGTTGGGACTTCGGGTCAACTGGGAAAAGAGCAAAATTTCCCCGACGCAGTGGATCTCTTTTCTCGTTATGGAGTTGAACTCGGTCGTACAGACAGCACGCATCACACAGGAACGTGCTCAATTGGTGTTAAAATGCTTGAATACATTCAAGAGCAGGATGGCGGTCCCACTGAAAAAATTTCAGAGGCTCCTGGGAGACCGCTTCAGCACTGGCTCCATGGCCGAGTCCTGAGGTGGGCGTGGCAACGCGGCACTCACCGGGTCCAAGTTACACCGGCCTGCCACCAAACCTTCACCCCGTGGTCAGACCTTGCATTTCTCCGGGCAGGATTGCCCCTAGACCAAGTCTCCAGGCATGCTGTACTTCACACGGATGCCTCAACCACTGGCTGAGGGGCCACATACAATGGGCTTGCAGTATCAGGGGTTTGGACGGGGCTCCAACTGCACCGGCACATCAACTGCCTCGAGTTGCTGGCAGTGCACCTTGCCTTGATCTGTCTCAAAGGGCGCTTACGAGGCAAGCATGTACTAGTCCGCACGGACAACACTGCGACCGTTGCGTACATCAACCGACAAGGTGGTCTGCGCTCCCGTCGCATGTCGTAACTCGCCCACCACCTCCTCCTTTGGAGTCAGAAGCATCTGAGGTCGCTTCGTGCTTTTCACATTCCTGAGGCTGCTCAACCGGGCAGCCGACGAGCTGTCTCGAGCTGAGCTCCCGGGAGAATGGCGACTCCATCCCCAGACGATCCAGCTGATTTGGAGACGTTCCGGAGCCACTCAGGTAGACCTGTTTACCTCTCCAGAAACCTCTCACTGCCAGTTGTTCTACTCCCTGACTGAGGGAACACTTGGCTTGGATGCACTGGCACTCAGCTGGCCGGAGGGCCTTCGCAAGTATGTGTTTCCACCCAATGAGCCTTCTTGCACAGACACTGTGCAAGGTCAGGGAGGACGAGGAGCAGGTCCTGTTAGTGGTGCCCTATTGGCCCACCCGGACCTGGTTCCCGGAACTAATGCTCCTCATGACAGCCCCTCCTTGGCCGATTCCTCTGATCGAGGGCTGTCTCCCTCCACCCTCAAAGTCTATGTCGCTGCAATCGAACCACGACCCCGTAGAAGGGAAGTCGCTGGGGAAGCATGACCTGATCATCAGCTTCCTTAGGGGGCGAGAAGGCTAAATCCTCCACGGCCCCCCTCTATACCTTCTTGGGACCTGACTCTAGTGTTCACAGCACTATAGGGCCCATTTGAGCCTTTGCAGACAGTCGAGCTGAAGTTTCTGTAAAAATGAAAACTCTACTCTTGCTTGCACTGGCCTCCATCAAGAGGGTCGGGGACCTGCACGCATTTTCGGGTGACGATTCGTGCCTAGAGTTCGGGCCGGCCGACCCCCAAGTAACTCTGAGGCCTCGGCCCGGCTATGTGCCCAAGTTTCCCACTACTCCCTTCAGAGATCAGGTGGTGAGCCTGCAAGCGCTGCCCCCGGAGGAGGCAGACCCAGCCCTAGATTTACTCTGTCCCGTCCGAGCCTTAAGGTGCTACGTAGACCAGACACAAAGCTTCAGGACCTCAGACCAGCTCATTATCTGTCACGGAGGCTGGCAGAAGGGGAATGCCGTCTCTAAGCAGAGGATGGCCCACTGGATAGTGGATGCCATCACCCTGGCTTATCAGGCACAGGGTGTGCCCTGCCCGTTCAGGTTGCGAGCTCACTCAACTAGAAGTGTTACATCCTCCTGGGCGCTGGCTCGTGGTGCCTCGCTGGCAGATATCTGTAGTGCTGCGGCTGGGTGACCCCTAACACGTTCGCTAGATTCTATAGCCTTCGTGTAGAGCCGGTATCCTCCTGTGTTCTCACCTAAACGGGTAGAAGCACTGAGTGGCCCCGGCTCCGAGTCGGCTTGCTAAAACCACTCCAGAGAGTCCATATAGTAGACCTTGATGAGCTCCTCTGTCCCCTCGGCAGCCAGACATGGCGGAGTGTCCGGCGCCAGGCCCTCTCTCGATGAATCCGTGAGAACCGGTAGAGGGCTGGGTTCCATATGTAGAGACCTAAGTGGATGCCATATGTGTAAAGTCCACGGTATAGCCTCAAGCCCGTGGTTCTCTGGCAGACTTAGCTTCCGTAACGTCCCTGTCCCAAGTAGAACGGGTACGTTTTCCCAGTGTTATCCAGTCTTACTGAGTGGGTAGTGCCATAGCAGCAGTAGCTGGTCCTCTTGTGGTAAGCCCTGGCCTACGCCAAAAAGAAGGGGCGCAGGTGGCTTCCTGCCCTTTGTTAGGGATCCCAATTCGTCGGTCATCTGACGTGACGTTGGGAGTGACCGACTGAAAGGGAAAGTCTCGCTTACGTATGGTAACCCTCGTTCCCTGAAGGAGGGAACGCACTGTTTTCCTGAGGCCATCAGGTGGAGGTGGCTCTAGATGCAAGGGCCCTTTCAACGCTGCTTGCAGCTTTAATTTTAAATTGTATTTTAAATCTGTATTTTCGATCAAGTAAATGCTGCCTTGATGAGCATAAAAGACTTATTTAAAAAATATAAAAAAATCTTACTGATCCAAAACATTGCAGTATGTATATATATATATATATATATATATATATATATATATATATATATATATATATATATATGTGTGTATATATATATATCCTCTCTCACACTGGCCCAAGGCCATCAGACCATCCTTATTGTCGAGTCTTGAAGTTGCTGTTTCCCAAATTGTGTGTTTGCAAGCTGTTTCTCTCTCCCTTTCTCTGTTTGTCATTATAATAAAGTAAAATGTGCCTCTCCCATTTATTTTAGAGCAAGCAGACAAATGCACCTCCCGCTGGAATGATGAGCCCATGCAGAATGGTACAGTAACACCCTCCATCATCCATTTATCTATCTCTCTCTTTCTTGTGAAGTGCTGCTATAGTGGGGTTTTCATGAGGCAATACAAATCATCATGTCAGAGATGGAAGAGTGTTAAAGGGTTAGTTCACCCAAAAATGAAAATTAACCCATGAAGTACTCTCCCTCAAGGCATCCTAGGTGTATATAACTTTCTTCTTTCAGACGAATCCAATCGGAATTATATTAAAAATTTTCTTTGATCTTTTAAGCTGTTTAATGGTAGTAAGCGGGTGTTGCAGTGCATCAGTCCAAAAGAAGTGAAATAAAGTGCATCCATTCATAATAAAAAGTGCCTCACATGGCTCCGGGGGGTGAACAAAGGCCTCCTGTAGTGAATCGATGCGTTTTTGTAAGAAAAATATCCATATTCAAAATGTAATAATCACTATAATCTAGCTTGCGCCAACAGTTGTACACGGAAGCAGCTCTGGGAGCATGATGTATGAGTTCAGCGCTGCGCATGAGCGGGTGAGTCTCGTGAAAACCAACGTTTGTTTACAGGAGCAAAAGAAGCAAAGTTTCCTTACTTTAGCAAAGGAAAACCAGTCTCCTCTTGGCTTATATCGAAATCCTCCGACATTCTTCTTTACAAATCCTCGTTTTGTACTTCTAATTAGTGACCGTTGTTTTGTTTTGATCTCTCCCCTGCGTTTCCGCGTTCGTCACTTCTGAGAGGCGCATGCGCAACGCCGACTTCTTACGTCAACAGTGAGCGCAAGCTAGATACAAGTGATTATTACGTTTTAAATGTGGTTATTTTTCTTACAAAAACGCATCGATTCGCTACAGGAGGACTTTGTTCACCCCCCATCCC